ACAACATGCATGAAAAAAAAGGAACATCCTCGCTATCCTATTTCTCTAAACATGCAAGCATGCCACATCATCATGCAACATACATGGGAAAAGACTCACATCAACATGCAAACATGCATGAAAATTTCCATTCTATTATGATATTATAATTTAATAAATAGCATATAACCATACAATAATCAAACACAATAAGTTATATGTATTTTCAGTTCTGGCTCTTATATTATTACTCCAACTCTTCATGTTTCATACAAGAAATCTCATTGAAGTAAGTTGCAAACTATCCCGCAACAACATGTGGGGGTATCATCTAGTTAATGTAAAAACGCTGGCAAGAAGGAGAGAGTGGAAAAAATACGCACACAAGAATGTGGATAGATGACCACTTGGACATGGGCTATGTCGTGACCGAAAAGGGCTAGCCCATGGGCTCTTTCTCGGCCAGAGTGGGCCTATAGCAGGTTTCCGACGCATCATCATACTCCCGCCATAGGCGAGCGTCTATACATCTTGCTTGTAGCAAGATAGATGGGGGAGCTCCTATTTGGGGAAAGTATCTAGTGCTCTCAGGCTTGGGGTGCTCCTGGTGCTCCAAATGTCCGAAAAACATTTTTAAAATGTTCAAAAAATTCTGAAAAAATTGCAGCACATCGACAGAACATCGATGTCTCTTGTCACAAAATTTTAAGTCAAAATTCGAAACATTGCTTGAGATACAAAAATGACAAACTTTTGTACATAACATAAGTTGGGCTTTAGTTTTGACCCATTATCACATTGATGTCAAATTTGTCATTTTTGTATCTCGAGCAATGTTTCGAATTTTGATTTGAAATTTTGTGACAAGAGACATCGATGTTCCGTCGATGTGCTGCATTTTTTTCAGAATTTTTTGAACATTTTAAAAAATGTTTTTCGCATCGGAGCACCGGGAGCACCCTAGGCCTGGGAGCACTAGATACTTTCCCCTCCTATTTGGTGTAGTAGGGGCTGGTGAACGAGGCAACGCCCATCCGCATCCCCCCCCCCCGTGCGCTTTTGGGCAGGTCCTTGTGTGGGCGCCCTATCTTTTTAATTTTGTTCTTTTATTTATTTATTTTGTCTTTTTCCTTTTAAAATATTTCAAGATTTAAAACAATCCAATTTGAAATCACTTGTGAATTTTTAAAAAGGTTCAAGAAAACAAAAAAAAATGCAAATTCAATAAATGTTTGTGATTGAAAAATGTTTGCATATTTAAAAAATGGTCATGCATTTGAAAAAAGTTTGTTCAGAAATTTATCAAGTTCATGATTGTGGATAAAATATTCTTGTGTCAGAAAAAGTCTTGAATTTGCATAATATTCACTAATTCAAAAAATGTTCAAACAATTTTAAAAAATCACACTGGTCAATAATGATCGTGAATTGCAAAAAAGTTCATGAATTCAAAAAAATGGTTGTCCAAACAAAAAACGTTCATGAATTTAAAAAAAATGAAATTGCAAAAAATGTCCCTCAACTCATTTTTTCACATATTCAAAACAATTTTCAAGAGTTCGGAAAAATGTTCACGATTTTAAAAATGCTGGCAAATTCAAAAAAGTTAACAGTTCTAAAAATGATCAAGAATTTGAAAAAATGTTCACAATTTCATAAAAAAATCATGAATTTGTAAAAATGTTCATGATTTCAAAAACAGGGAAAAAAGAACGAACATGAAAAAGGGCAAAGAAAAATCAAAAAAGAAAAAAATGAGAATTTGGAAAAAGCAGAATAAACCAAATGAAAAAACATAAAAGTAAGTACAATAAGTTGATGTAGATAGGCTCTAAGACATTAAATATTATGTTTGTGCAACGTCGGAGGAAAGAGAAGATGAGAGATAAGAGAAGCGGGCTACAGATAACCGGCTACAGCACGCGCTCGTAAAACTATATGGGAGAGTGAGGTGTGTCCTGTACCATAAAGTAGTACGTATTTATATCTAACTATTTACTTGTCGGCTATAAGTTTGACTATAAATGACGTGTCAACATCATATAACCAGCAACTAGCTATACTATGAATCATGATCTAAAAACGGTTTGGGAGGGTCCTCGAACCTTTCCAAAACCGAAAAAGCTAATGGGCTGACCCAAATTGTATGTAGTGGCTGGGGGGTACGCATTCGGTCGCCAACCATTGACCTCTGCGCCAAATAGAATCCCCGAGATTGACGTCCGCCTCGCCTACAGGGACATTTGTTGGCCTCGACCCCGAAACTTGGTTAAAGCACGCACGATAGTTATAAAAGAACTAACGTGCCAGGCGCTAGTTCGGTACATGATAAGTACGATTTTAATTTTTAATCACTTTATCCATTTTCTTCTCTATATATATCTTTTGATTTTTTCTATGAATAAGAATGGTTTTACTTTTTTGACATTTTCCGTTTTCTTCTTTTGAAAAATATTGCAAAAACTTATATGCATATGTATGTTGTGTATTAAGAATATTCATCATGAATTAAAGAAAATGCTCGTCAAAATTTTGAAAAAATTAGTAGTTTGTCTGAAATTCCACATCTTGTATTAAAAAATATTCATCGGCTATTTGGAAACTTCCCACCTTGTATTAAAAATGTTCAAGGAATTAACAAAATGTTCATCATGCAATAAAAAATTATCAAAAATAAAAAATGTTAGTCATGTATCAAAAATAATTAATCATAAATTAAAAAAATCATAACACGCACATGATTGTTCATTGTGCATTCAAAACATTTTACAATTTTTTAATAATGTTCAGTGATGAATTTAAAATTAATACACAAGAAGCTTTTGGAAAAGAAATCTTGATTAAGCCTTTTGAGATTCATCGTGAATATTTTCTAAAATACAGATTAACCATTTTTGAAATTACACAATGAATATTTTTTGGTACATCATTACCATTTTATAAATACATATGAACATTTTGGAAATACCCGACAATTTTTATAAACGCTATGAACATTTTTTTAATACACGATGAACATCTTTGAAAACGCGGAGAATATTTTTTAAATGCATTATTATTTTTAAGCATTGAACATGTTTGAAAGTGGTGAACTTATTAAAACATGATGAACAGTTTTGAAATATCTAATGTGCATTTAATATAATATGGTAAATTGTTTTGAAAATATACTATAGACATTTTTATGCATGTTGCAAAGAGAAAGTTAAGGACCAAAAGAAGCAAACTAAAAACATAAAAAGAAAAATATGAAAATAAAAATTTGAATTAGAAAATAAGGACGACTTTTAAATACATGATACATATTTTTGAAAACACTATGATCATATTTTGAAAACATTATGAACAAAGAGAAGAACCAATACAAGAGAAAAAAAGGAAAGGGAACAGAAGGAAAAAAGAAAAACATAATAGAAAAAAGATGAAATGGTAAAACTGATACTATCAGTCTAAGACATGGATAATCTGCTCGTGAACTGAAATACACCCACATGAACATAAAATTCTAAAATATAGTAAATACAATAAAAAATTCTGAAATTTTTGTGGATGAACATTAACAATTTTTCTCACATCCTGCCAAATTTCACCTTGAAAGGACATCCATATAGGCATGTATAAAAGAGGCGAGCCTCAAAAGACACAATTTGGAGGACTCTTTTTTGGTTTTTAGTCACACACCTCTACAGTTGTTCTTCGCGGATAAATTTTGCAGGACATTAGAAAACTTGTTGATATTCATCCACCAAAAAAATTATATTTTATTATTTTGTTAACTACATTTTTGGAATACACTGTTCATGCGGGTGCATTTGTCCTCGAGATTAGAGTAACACTTTGATCTAATAGACTAGTATAATGAAAAAGACAAGCAGTCTAATAGATTAGTGAAACATGACACAGTGCAGCACGTATCTTGGATAAAAGAAAACGTGTTGACTCCACCAACTGATACATTCAAACAGTCAGCTGCCTCCCGCCTCCGCCATGGGTTCCACATCACACCCATTTTCTTTTTACACTCAAAACCCTCTTTATTCGTCGAGTTCGCCACCAGTAGTAGTATAGCCAACCCTACCCTATCATATCACATCATTGATAAGTAGAGGGATTAAGACCTAAGGAGTACCATCTATCCAAGTTTCCGGTGGTTAAAAATCTAGCTAAGTGAAATGGTTCGTCATCTCCTTTTTCTACTTAGAAAACTATCATCCTTTTGTTTTCCCATCCTCTCTCCTAACAGAAGCTCCTACGGTCCTTCCCCTCCACGCAAGGTATGCCTTCTTTCTCTCGCAGCCACACGGTCATTGCAAGCTCACCTCTGCTACCTGAAGGCGCCACGCCACCACCCCAACGACGTTGCAATAGGTGTCGCCGCATGCAGGGCGCATCGTAAAGCTGGCACGATGTTGGTAAAAACTATAAGAAAGGTCATAAAACACTAAACATCGTATGATGTATTTGTTGCCCCTGTGCGTGGTAGAGAACGGGGCTGCGAGGTGCCAAGTTCGAGTCCCAGCTGCCATGTTAGCCTCACAGTGTGCCACTGACACAGCTACATACGTGAAATAGCATCCTATTTTCATCTCCATGCAAGTTCACGGACCAGAAACATGTATTTTACAAAAAAAATGAGTTTTTTTTTACAAATTTATATGCCAAACTGACCGCGCCGCGCAAGTTGTGAGACCAGTGTATTTACCTCAAAACAGAAGGCCGAAACCAGCCCAAATACTCTTCTGGGTTGTAAAATGATGGCTCAGTCCGGCCCAAAAGGCAAAACCAACCCGACCCAGCCCGGTTTTGCCGGGCCGTCGGGCCGCTGTGCAACCCGAGTCCTCACCGGACCTTCCAACCCGAGTCCTCGCACCGTGCCGTACCTTAGCCTCATCGCCGACGCCGCAGCCCCGGCCCCGTCTTGCGCACACCCGGCGCACCTTCTGGATCCGCCCCTGCGCGCAGCACTCGCCCCCCGCCCCCCGCCCCTGCTCGTCGAGCCCTCGCTCCCCGGATCTCCAGCCATGTACGGCGGCGGTAAGATCCCTCGCTCCTGCCCCTGCCCCTGCCCCTGCTAAACCCTAACTAAACCCTGGAGATCCCCCGCGGCGACCGCTAATTTTTGCTTGCTCTCCCCCCACGCAGACGAGGTCTCGGCCATCGTCATCGACGTGGGCTCCTACAGCTGCAAGGCCGGCTACGCGGGCGACGACACCCCCAAGTCCGTCTTCCCCTCGGTGAGCTTCCGCCGCCGCTGCTCCCAAACTGTTGGAATTATGCTGTTTGTGTTCGTTTATTAATTGGGAGCGGAACCGACACCATGTGCTAAATTTGTGCGCATTGCATCCGCGCAAGTTTGTGCTGGTGGTGGACGGATTAGTGCTCACTTACCCATTGGTTTCAGCGCAGCGCGTGCAGTCTTGTTAATCTACCGACGACGAAGTTGGTTCATGATTCAGGCTCTAATGTCTCAGATTTGCCACTAGCTATTAGTGTTAGCTACTGTGAGCCTTTCTTGCATGCTGCACTATGAGTCAAACAAAAAGGAAGAAGCTGAATTTCAAGTGTTAGTGGGATTATTGGGCTAATTTTTGCAGTCTGGCAGTAAATTGCTAGTTTCACTCTGTTTCTGATGAAATAAACGAACTACTCATGTAATAACATTGAAATAAAAATGAGATTTTTTTTAAGAAAATGGTTTAAATTTGGCCATTTAGGGCCTGTTCGGTAGCCCTCCACATCCCCAAACTCCTCAACTCCTTAGCCCAAAACCTGCAGCCAGCTTCTTGTTGAAAACCCGGAGTTGGACAGATCGTTTGCCTCGACAGCTTCTCGCTGGTTAGCGCGAGCATGGGCTGGCAGCCCAGCCTGAATCCCCTTTTCTTTTTCCTCCCACGTGCTCACATCTTGGCCCACGTTGGATGCTTTTTCAACCTGCAACACGGACGAACATGACGTCTCCTGGAGCTGCCAATCCCTGTCAAATTAGGGAGATTAAGGACACGATTTGTCTCAACTTTAATATGTAATTTGTTGCCCACTGTCCTCCGAACCCATTCCATCAAATAGCACAATCTATTACTCAGTAACGGACTAACGGTAGAGATCGGAGTGCAGCCGTGGCGACGGATGAGGCGGATGGGGACAGGGGACACAGTGGGATGGGGTGGGAGAAACCCGATGGCGGCGCCAAGGGCTTGAGTCCGTCGAGGCTCGGCTGCGCCTAGGACTGGGAGTCGAAGGAGCAGCTGCTGAAGCTCAGCGGGGAGGGACGGTGAAGGGAGGTTCGAGGAGAGTGGAGGAGGAGAGGAAGCACTTGGGCTCTTTTTTTCATTCGTGAACAATACCGGTTCGCTACCGTGGGTCACTTGGCGTGGCAGTACATTTTGGCCAGTACAACTTATCGCATTCAGTATCTGGTTTTGATATGTTCAGGTTGTTGGTTCAATTGAACAAGCGGAAGATACCGATGAAGCTAAGCCAGAGAAGGAGGCTGACTCTGCATCAGATCCTAAGAATGGATCCAAGCCTATGGATGTGGACAAAGCGAAGAAAAACCGCAAATTTTATGTAGGTCAAGAATTAGAATTCAGGAGGGATCATATGGAGGTCAGTAACCACACATTCTAAGGGTGATTTGTTACTCATGATTTCTATTAGCTATCGCTTATTGGCCCCCCCTCCACAAAACAGGTGATCTCACCGATGAAAGATGGAACAGTTACGGATTGGGATGTTGTTGACAACATATGGAATCATGCTTTTAGGTAAATTTATTTATCTACTTGATGCAGCTCAGAGCAATTTCTCCTCTTTAACATGGTCCGTCGATAATCAGCAATGACACCAGCTGAACTACAATTAAGTTATTAGTTCAAGTTTAACATTTAGCATTCTGTGTTCATTTCGCTGAGTATACTATTGTGAAATTGTTAGTTTGTGAGTAAGCGAGACAGGATTCGTTGTTTTCCCTCCTGTTTTTTTTTTTTGCGGGGTAAACCCTCCTGTTTTATTTCATATGTTGGGATGCTTTGTCTTCTGTAATAGCTAAGGTTGATTAAGTACAAGGATTTCCTCGTTATGATGCTATGTAATTTTTTGAAGTTACTATTTCTGTGGATCTACTATATTGTCATACTGACTTGTTCTATATTTCAGACGGCGGCTATTGATCAATCCTGAAGAGCATCCTATGCTCATAGCGGAACCATCTATAAACAGTGCACAGCAAAGAGAGAAGTATTTTCTATGTTTGTTTTTAAAATATTTATATTGCTAACCCATATCAATGCTTTCAAGCCTGACTCTTAGTTTCCATGTTCTGTAGAGCAGCAGAACTTATGTTTGAGAAGTACAAAGTGCCAGCGCTGTTCCTAGCAAAAAATGCAGTATGTCTCTCTCAGAAGTAATCTTTGATGCAACTAGTTTATTATTTTTAATTGTTGATTGGTTTGTCAGGTTCTCACATCTTTTGCATCTGGACGTGCTACATCTCTAGTGGTTGACAGGTCAGCATTTTCTTGATGACATTTTATCTCTGCAACCTGCTGCTTTCCTTAGAAATAGATGAAGGCCCCTTGTTTGCTATGTTAGCCCGATTAGTTTATGAACAAGTCCACTGTGTTGTGGTGACTGATTGGTTCTTAATTTCCTACTCTATGTCTGAAGTAAATTGCTTTTCACCAATACGTTGCACATAACACACAGATAGTGTGTAACAGTCCATCCGCACCAAGGAAATACTCATGAAGAAGTTGGTTCTAACTTCTAACTGTTAATGCTTGAATTTCCCTATTTCACTTTCCTTGATTTGAACACCTTAATCTGGTTTTGTGCTTAGGTGACCTTCTCGATTCCTTAAGAAGCAGTGTTATTAGAGTTGAACAAGCTGGTGTCAAACATATATCAAATTTATTTCATCTTAATTTTACTGCTTTGGGTCTTTATCATGATAGAGATTTCTGGAATATGACAGAGCGATCATGTTTGGTGCAGTGGTGGTGGGTCTACTGTGGTTTCTGCTGTGCATGATGGTTATGTTTTGCAAAAGGTATGTTATGCTATCAATATCCTGATTTTCAAGGGGAGGTGTAGTGATTTGCCTGTTTTCACATTGTACATTTCTTTTGAAAATTTGATTAATCCAGGCTGCTTTAACATTTGATAAAATAAAATGCTAAGTTATCATATGGACTCTGGGATATGCAACATTATTATCGCTTTTGCCTTGGCTCTTCTGAAGCCTTTTCTTCTACCATTTTGATAACTTGTTGTCATGTGGCAGTCTGTGGCAACTTCTCCGATTGGTGGTGAATTTTTAACTGACTGTATGATGAAAAGCTTGGAGAGCAAGGGCGTTGTTGTAAGCACCTCTCTTAGTTAAGATAGCATACTAGTCCTTGCTGTATTTTCATATCCTGTTTGTTCACTTCTCAGATCAGGCCCCGGTATTCATTCAAGAAGAAGGAAGTGAGCCCTGGAGATTATAAGGTGTAGTTTCTATAACATTGCATCTGATATTGACATCCTTTTCTTGTCTGCTTGTGATTCCTTTGGACCAAGAGATAACTCTTCACACCATTCGATGTGTCCCTTTGTTGAAACTCCTTGTACCATTGAATGTGAGCTGAGCCATTGGTATAGTTGAAATCAACACACCACCAGTAAAGAGGAGGGGCAAAATATACCTATCATCCTTGTCTTCTAACGAAAAAAAGTGAGAGAGCCTGCAAGGTGGTCTGTACCCCTCCTCCCTTGCCAAATTCGTTTCTGGCACCAATTAAATAAATCTCTCAGTAGACATCGAATACTATTTTGGCATTTCCAATATCATGAAGTTACGCCTTCCTGTACATATCAATATTCACAGATACATGCGCACTAGGTGGTTCTCTGACTATATATAGCCATCCCTTTAAAATATCTTTAGTGTTTTTCTTCGCATTTATGTGGTACTAAGGTTCTGAATTTGCCATGTTAATTAATTAATCATGGTTACATTCTAATTTAGTTAACATTACACTGGACGGATATAAGGGAAACTATGCGGTGTTTATTCTGTTGACCCATGTTTATCTTTTCAGGTTGTAGACCTTGATTTTCCAAACACCACGGATAGTTACAGGTTGTACCACATGGTATGTTCATTGGCAAATCTGTAATTCTTGTTTTGCTTTGTTAATTTTTGTCTCGATGCATTTAATCGTGATGCTTACTCTGTATCACAGAGAGCTATTGCTAGTGACATCAAGGAGACGGTTTGTAGAGTTCCAGATACTCCTTTCGATGGTATAACATTTCGAAAATACATTATTCCTGTGATTGTTTAGATCTGCTATATTGATGCGCAAGCTTGGACCATACTGGCATGTACGCAAAATCTGAGGATCAAGCCAATTGCAGTTGATCCATCTTCCCCTTATATAATAATAAAGCAAATAGTGCTTCTGGTCGTCCGTCATTAAAACTGCCTCTAAAGTTGTAAATTATTACCCACCAATGCCACCGGTAAGTGAGAAAAACGTTTGGTTTCTTATATTTTGTTTCATCTGCGGCGGGCATAGCTCAATAGGAGGAGATCCCCTCATATGCAATAACCATGCACGTAGCTCATTGGTTGGTACCTTCACATACCCGCGCTGGAGGTTGTGGGTTCGATCCCTACCCTCCCCTTTTTTACAAAAGATCAAATACTTTTTGAAATTTTCATATCTTTCAAACCCTAACTCCAAATCTAACATGTCATATATGAAAATTCATCAGAAAAATGTGTAGATTCCAAATATGCCTTCATCATTAATTTTTTTAAAAATATGTTCGATCCCTACCCTCCCCTTTTTTCCAAAAGATCAAATACTTTTTGAAATTTTCATATCTTTCAAACCCTAACTCCAAATCTAACATGTCATATATGAAAATTCATCAGAAAAATGTGTAGATTCCAAATATGCCTTCATCATTAATTTTTAAAAATATGTTCAGGGTGCAAACTTAAATAATACGTTCTTTATATGATGAGATATTTTAGAAATGCCTATTACATATGCCCTTATAGATTGGTTGTTTTTGGTGGAGCTATCCGATATGTTTGCAACCAAATTAAGTCTTGAATTGAATTATGGTTGCAAACACACATATTTTTATATATGCAAACACATATATGACAAAAATAATGCTCTTATGCACATGCTATCATTGAATACTAAAATGTACTTTGCTATTTTCATTCTAATGCAATATTCTTTGGACATCACCGAGAAACAACATCAAATGCATAAACATATACCGGCAGCTAGGTAGATATTTGTGTTGTATAATGAATTCTAAACACCTTGAGTACACTTCAAAAATCATCACACATTTATGTTTTTTCACAACACCACTTAGCATGTTGCTTGTTGCGTGGCATCACGAAAGATTTCAAGGGATTTGCTGTGTCGTCAACTGTGTGTATGAGGGATGATTTTTTTTTCTCCCGTTGCAACACACGGGTATGTTTGCTAGTTAATGAATTATATATATGCATACAACTATAATATAGTTGGCTACTTTTTATGCATATCCATGTCAATTACCATTATTTTTAGGGTTTTTATCATTTATACCACTACTGACGGAGCGATGGCATTTCTGAGTGGTTGTAACTTCTAATGGCAAAACTAAGTAGTGGGACACAACTAGTGGCATAAATGATAAAACCCCCTTTTTTATTTGTTTGACTGATTTGACATATCTCGTTGTATGTTTTATTTAAGGTTCTCCTGTTCACTTTCCCTGCTTTATTTTCATGCAGAAGTGGCATATGCAAATGTTCCTACAACTTCATATGAGCTTCCTGATGGGCAGTAAGTTATCAATAGCATATAGACACTTCTCTCAAGTCAGATTAATTTCATTTTATTAGCAATTAGATATTGAATATGGGCTAGTAGCTACTTTTCTGGAGTGTATCTGAGGCATCTTGCCCCTCTTACTCCATTGGGCATGCCCTCTTCAGTACGCCCAACAAATAGCCATGACAAACTTCGTTGTTTACAAATCGACATAAAACTAATATATCATAACACCGAGAACTTGTGGTTTAGAAACCATAAAGTTTCTAGGATCTGTGCATGTGCCACATTTTAGTATAGCCCCGAGTTGCAATTTTGCAGCCTGGTAGACCATATCATGATGCAGCTACCATGATGATTATAGATTTTCATTCCCATTACAAGTATGCATGGTATTCCGATTTCGGATGCACAATGCACCTATAAGGTGTTAGGATTCTAATGTCTCCACTTTCTCTGTTTCTGTTACTGCAATTTTGTGGTAAATATGTTGTTTATGGTTGTACTGCTTAAGTTATAACTTATCTATGTTATATCTGAGCAGAACTATCGAAGTTGGTGCAGAGAGATTCAAGATTCCTGACATTTTGTTCAACCCATACCTTTCTCAGGTGAGTGAGAAATGTATAATTTGCTGTGTGCATGTATGTTAGTTGGTCAGGTTTTGTGCTAGTGGTTGATTACACTATCCAGGAACAGAACAAGTTCATTGCTTCTTCAGTAGATGCTATCAATATTCAATAATTTCTTTTGGACCTAGCTGACTTGTCTTCAACCCCTCTCCTGCACACTAATTTTGTGATCAACAGACTATTCCTGGGATCGATGGATTTGGAGATTCCACTTCGATTCGTGGACTTCCACGAATGGTGAGTTAAATTATGGGTGCTTATATTGTTGTGCAGCTTGGACAGTTCTTCATGTTAATGAAGTTGCTGCCACCATTGTTTTTCATCAGGTCCTTGAGAGTGTAAATAGGTGTGATGTTGACATTCGCAAGGAGCTACTCAGCAGCATCTTGGTAAAGACATTAATTCCAGTGCTGCATTGCTACTTCTCTCTACATGCCCGCATGCACGGGCTTAGTGAAAGAACTTGTATAACATAATCTTCAATTCTCCTGTTATAATTTGTTAATACAACTCTAACATCTTCAAACTTGTATTCTTGATAGCTTTCTGGTGGCTCATCATCAATTCTGCAGTTAAAGGACCGTCTAGAAAAAGAAGTACTGGAGGTAAATAAAAAGGCAGCTGAAGAAGCTAGGATAAATGTTGCTGTATTTTACATGTTTTCACCGCTTTCAAGCATGTTTCAGTTTATGTATTCTTTTTCTTCGAAGCTTTGCTGTTAGTTCAATGCAATAACTTTTTTTTCGAGAAAACGCAAAGGACTTTTTGCGTTTCATTTCATTGAAGAGATGAGAAAGTACAATCCTCCTAGGAGGTGGTGGTTATATGGATTGGCACCCTATCAGTGGACATCCCAGCTAGTGGGGAGGACTACCCTGAGACCCAAAGCGCCAGCTTGTGCCCAACATTTGGCTTCGGCCTTAATCCTATCTACGAGTGCGGTAGCCGAGGGCCGTGCATTCGTGAAGACGCACTCGTTGCGCTGTTTCCAGATCATCCAAGGAACGAGCATGGTGATGGATTGCAGACCTTTCTGTAGCGCCTGTGGGGTCTGCCCTTTCGTTCGTTGCCACCAGTCCGTGAGGCTGGGTTCATTGCTTGGCGGTTGAGAAAGTATCCTCGCCCAAGCCAGCACGTCGTACCAAACCTGCCGCGTAAACGGGCACTCTAGGAGCAGGTGCCACATCGACTCAGGGGCCTGATCACAGAGGAGGCATCGTGGATGGTGCTGTAGGACGCGACGGGCGAGTCTATCCGCTGTCCAACACCGGTCCTGGCTAGCCAACCAGTGAAAGAAATGGACACGTCGCGGTGCCCAGCTCTTCCAGGTAAGCTTCCAGGAGGGGCATTTCATAGATCCGTGGAAGGTTGCAGCGTAGCATGACCGTGCCGTATAGGTGCCACTAGCCGTCCATCTCCAGAGCATCTGGTCAGGCCGGTTTGGTAGGCTGATGTGCTGCACGGCATGCCAAAGTCTGAGATATTGGCCAATCTCATGAATCCCTATCGCTCCTTGGATGTCGCGAGCCCAAGCGTTGCCCGCAAGGCCTGCGGCCACCGTTCTTGACTTGCGTCGCCATTTGGGGATGCATTGGTAGAGTGCCGGTGCGAGTTCGCGCACGGACTGACCATTGAGCCATCGGTCATTCCAAAACAGTGCCGTCAGTCCATCACCGAGCACCATGGTCGTCGATGCGTAGAACAACGCGCGCTCCTCGCTGGAAAACTGGAGGTCGAGGCCTCGCCATGCGCGATCGTCGTCCGTGTGGGAGAGCCACATCCAGCGCAGGCGCAGCGCGAGGCCAGCGCGCTCCAGATCCTGGACCCCAAGCCCGCCGTACTCGAGCGGGCGGCACACACGTCGCCAGTTGATGTGGCAGTGTCCGCCATTAGCAACGGCGCGCCCGGCCCACAAGAAGCCGCGCTGGATCTTTTCGAGCTGTCTCAAGGTCTTCTTGGGCGGCGCAAACGCGAGCAGTTGATGTATCGGGATCGCGGCGAGCACCGATTTGACCAAAGCCAGCCGCCCGGTTTTGTTCATGAGCCATGCTTTCCATGTGGGGAGCCGAGCAGCCACCGAGTGTTTGTCAAAACATGCTTTAGACAAAGCTTTCCACCTTATTTCTGCGGCCTTCCTAAAAAAATAGAAGAGTAAAATGCATCTCATTGATTCTTTTGGTTAGTGACTAGTCATTACATGGTTCATAAAAAGGAGAATCTATGGTTAAGGCTGTTGAGAATTGTTCTTTTGTCTTGGTTTTTACTGGTTAGTTAATGTTGTTCCTGAATCTCTGAGCTTATTCTTATTTGTAACTCAATTATCGCAGGAGTCCCCTCAAAATGCTCGTGTAAAGGTTTTGGCAAGTGGAAATTCAACAGAGAGGCGATTCAGGTAAGACCTAGTATATTTGCTTGTCTTTGCATGCACTGACTGCTCCGTGGAGCCCGTTAGCAGCAGAGGAATTTGAATGATTGCTTGTGTTGCCATTGGAAAGTAAAACTGTTCCTTTTGCTGTTTTAATTACATGAGTAGCTTAATGCAAGAACTTGTCGTGGCCCTGAAGGCGGTCTAAAATTTGATGAAAGCATGCTGATCGCAATGCCAGGAATAAAACTTATCCTTGACCATAGGGAAGGGCCACCACAGTTAAAATGCATGCCGTGTAACTGGTTTTGTCTGTGTGGCCGCTAGTGCTGAGATTCATCATCGGTTAGATGTTGATTGACATGACTGACACATTATAATTTGATGAGTGCAGTGTCTGGATTGGAGGGAGCATCCTTGCATCCCTTGGGTCGTTCCAGCAAATGTGGTTCTCCAAGGCAGAGTAAGTTTGATTTTCTAGGTTCTGTTTGGTTGCCCTGATCTTCTGTATCGCACGCCTAAGAATATCTATCTTCTCGCAAACAGGTACGAGGAGCACGGCGTTTCCTATATCCAGAGGAAATGCCCATGAAATGGCGAAGCATGCATGCAGCCCAAGCTTTGTGTTGCCCAAAGATGTGTGTGGGCAACAGTTAGATGCAGGCGACCGACTATCTTTAGGTCCGTGAGTGCAGCTCTAGAACAAACTCAGCTGATACTTGTACGTGCGTGCCCAAAGATGTGCGTTGGTTGCCACCTTTGTTATCTGGGGGATATTTATAATTGTTGTCGTTACCGAATTATCTTTAGCTCCACGAGTCCAACTTGAGAACAAACTCATCTGATACTTGTCATTGATGGTAGATACTAGCAGTTCATGCGATGAATTTTCTCGCCGTTGATGTAGAATGTGTAACAGTTTACTCTGCAGACGTCAATCAATGTATCTGCGATTCAAGTATTAGCCATTTAGGTATGCAGCTGGTTCTTGAATTGAAGCTGTCACTGATGGACTACATCTTAGGTCAGTCATGTTAAACGGTTATTGGACTTGCACCGCCGAGCTCAGAACGAGCTCCATTCACATCAACGCTGTTGCTGGTTTCCTGGTGTTTGTTGTTAATGGCGCTACGAGCATACCGGTAACAGTGACTCTGGCATGAAGCGGACAACATAATATTAGTTGAAGAAACTACTTGCATTTCACAGGAACTGCGGAGGTAGATGTGAACATATGAAATTGCAGCAGTTTATTATAGCTAGCTGTTTCAAGGAGAGAGTCGAGATGATCACAACTCCACAACTAATAATACAAGCCATTCCTTAGTGTACAGATTCCATACGCACTAGTCAGTTCCTCCTTTGGGGAATATAACACTGTCGACACATCCATGGCCGCTTTTATTGCTTCAGAAGAACGCAGCACAGAACAGAGATCACACAGCGCCGCCGGCAGGGGGAATCGATCGAGCATCGGCGGGCCCAAAATCCAAATTAGCGCTTCCTGGAGTCGATGAAGTCCTGGAGCGCGGCCACCTGGTCCCTGGTCGGGGGCTGGTCGTTGTTCTTGATGGAGCGGTGCACGTCGTACGTCGTCGCCCCAAAGAACACCAGCCTGCATACAGCAACCACCCAGATTTGATGATTAATCAAACCACGGAGGACTGGAGGAGCAACGAGAGAGACCAACAGAACGCCTCTTGCCTACCCTGCGGCGAGCAGCGCCATCTGCCTCGGCGAGACGTGCCTGCCCAGCACCCTCATCCTCGTGCGGTGCTCACAGGCATCGGTTCGCTAGCTCCGAGACTGCTTCCGAGCATACGTGCCTAGGGATGGCAATGGGTACCCATTACCCGCGTACCCTGCGGGTAAAAACCCTATTAGGGTAAAGGTATGGGATAAAAATTTACCCATGGGTACTTAAATGGGAAAATATCATACCCGTCGGGTGGAAAGGGTACAGGTATGGGATCGTATAACCCATGCCCGCTTACCCATGTACCCATCTAAAATGTTAACAAATGGGTTTCCGTTAATATCATAACGTATTAATTTTACCCTCCTAATCACGCTAGATAAAAACTCTAATGTGTAGTAAAATTATCTCTACGATTTATCTTGATTTTGTGAACTTAAAGTGTATATGTATGTGTTGTTATGTATGATTATGTGTTGTTTTTTTTTTAACATTTTTATGTGTCACTTTATAGGCAAGTATTTTTGTTTATGAGAATGTGTTATTGTTACAATATGTTATTGTACATTGTTGTTTAAAATTTGTTGCTATTAATAATTTATGATTATATATTGCTTTTTACAACTATTTTCTTCTCAACTGATGTGTTGTAAATGCGGGTATATTTACCCGCGGGTACCCATATACCCTGTCGGGTGATGGGTATGAGAAAAAATTATACCCTTGATGGGTATGGGTATAGGTGATGGGTAAGTTCAGGGTGGATGGGTAAGGGTATGGGGTAGCTCCACCCGTACCCATACCCTGCGGGCGCCATCCCTATACGTGCCGTGCGTGGCACGGGGTACCTGTTAACTTAAGGCGTGGGATCCATCCGTCCGTGTCCTGCCAGGAGGAAATATGCGTTGCAACGGCACATAACCACAACAGATCTACTTCCTTTTATTTTAACACCCACATGACATTACCAAAAGAACCCATGCGTTGCAACGGAAGAAAAAAAAATCACCACATGCCCCGTACCCGATAACCGTTACTCAAGACCCCAATAGGTTCACGTGCATCCCATCTGTGTTGCCGCTTATTCGACTTCCCACCCTCGCCGACGGTGGCCTCACGGCTCACACACCCACAACGTGTTTGAATGTGGGCAATTCTAAGTAGTGTATCTCCTCATAAGATGAGAAATCTGCTATGAAAATAATGTTGTAGTCAGGGTTTAAAAGCTATGGATATTTTTAAGAAGCATTTGAATCCGCTCCCAAAAAATAATGTTGTTTTTCAGAGGGCTGCGAGTTTATTAAACGAAATATCATGGGGTTTTATGCAAAAAGAAACAAGTTTTCTAGATTCACTTAAAACAGAACCGTGGGTTAATTAACCAGAAGATCAAGGGGTTTCTGCAAAAAATGAAACGTTTTTCTTATTCACTTAAAACAGGACTGCGAGTTGATTTCAAGAAATGGTAGTTTTTTTTGAAATATCATCAACGGACTGGTAGAAGCACTTCATTTTTTTGGTGATCTCAAATATTTCAAATGGGTCATTTCAAATATTCTAAACTGGCTTTTTCAAATATTTCAAACCAGGCGTTTAGATTATCTCAAATAAATGATTCCAATTACTTCTAAACAGTGGTATCAATCATTTCAAGAGATCCCAAATCTGTTTCACATGCTGATTTCAATAAATGAAATAACTTCAGATATTCCACATGTGCGTTTCAATTATTTAAAAGTAGAGATAATGATTATTTTAACAAGGGAAATGCTAGCTGTCAGACGCTCCCTGGAAGTCCAACCCCAGCAAATGCCCGCATCGCCATCACACGAATCTCAAAGCAGGGCCATTGCCACGTCGAATGGCTGGAGGCGTTCGTTGAGTGCTAATTCCTGGTGAACACTCGTTTTCCCGCAACCTGCGCGTGGGGGGAGGTTTCAAACCCGCGACCTCCGGCGAGAGCGCGGGGCTTTTTGGCAATGCTCCAGAGATGTGATTCATGAACATTCGTGATAACTTGCATTTTTGAAGCTTTTTTTAATTTCGTCCAAAAATCTCCTTTTCTTATCTTTCTCACATGGCAGTTTTTTTTATAAGAGGATGTCATTTTTATTATAAGAAGATGACATCTAACATTCTTAAGAAGTTGCTCCCCACTTCTACCTATTCTCTCATCATGCAGCCTATCCACATCATCATTGTGCCACATCATCTTTTCCTCCTTTTTATTAGACAAATCAACCTTTTTTTTCCTCCCAACCTTCTCTCCCGCAAGAAGTTGTGGAACCAACCGTCTGACCATACGAGCAAACAACCTGGCCATTTATTGTCACGGACTCACGCTTTTGTCTTCTGGACTTCTCCTCTGCCCGTTCGTTTGCTCTTCCATCCCCTTCTGTTCCGTCAACTATGATGATCCTCCTGTGAGGCTGTGAGCCCCTCTCCCTTCCAAATCCACTATGAGGACCGCGGCCATACTCATGCTCTACCATCGCTGCCATGGAAAATTTGCAAGGCTCGACAGAGACCGGCACAACAGGCACCGGACAGGTGGCCACCCCAATATCCAAGCAGGTCCAAAACGCCATTGGTGGCAGGAGGAAGAAGGTGAAGAAATCAAGATCAATAGTATTTCGTGGAGTTGTGCAGTGTTGCTAATTCTGATTTTTTTTTTCCAGAGCAACTCCCTCATGTTGTTTGCTCTGCTCTGAATCCTCCTTGCGCCAGCGGCATCGGACGAACCAGGTGCGTCCCAGTTCGAGGGGGGTCCAGCGGGATGACCCTGGGACGGAGCAGCTCGCCGGCACCCCCGCCTCCTCGCCGCCGCCATGGCCTGCAAGCCATATCAGTGCAGCCTATTTAGCCCCTGCATGGCCGTGAGCATCTTTCCCCCTTCTCCCGCTTGGCTTGATTTAGTGTTCTCATCAGGTGCGTATGCTTTTTGGTGCTTGCGGTAGCTCCCAGGTGGTGTTGTGCTCCTGTTTTTCTTCAGTATTAGCAATGTCAGTAAACTTGGTTATTCGTCCCTTGCTGCATTCCCACGGCATCAGGTTTATGGTACTATTGGAAATTAATGTTTCCATTTACTGTTAATTCTGAACTTTTTCAGGTGAGTGAGGCGAGCTCCCAAACTGCCCATGTCTTCCTGAACTTTCCATCTGCCTCTACTTCGTCTTCTTGGATTGCACTAAATGTTACTTTATCAATTAGTTATTATAATGGATAAAAGATACAGATTGAGGATGTTGCAAATCACGCCCTGACTAAAGATAATGGCGCCGCCGCTACTTGTTGACAACAGCGGCCGTGGATCTCCTGGAGGTCTCGGAGGTACGCTGCTTGGGGTGCAGGCTGATGTTGGAGGCATAATAAGGTCCGACGGAGTTTATCTGTCCTGACTGCAGTCTCAACGTACTATGCCCGCCGCCCAGGGAAGACACTGCCCCTGCCACCACGGACGCGCACGCGGTAATGTTGTCATGTGGTGCCCTCGGCGAGCTCCTGAGCATGTTGGTCAAGGTATCGTGTTGCAGCCAAGCTGATCGTCGACCCCGTGCACCTCCTGAACTACAATTTGTCCTCGCCAGCCGCAGCTGGCCGCTACAGTGTTCCACACTGATTATTGCTCCTCGGGAGGTATCTACTCTTTAGGGTTCTGATCATTTTTTTTGAAGGGTTACGATTTTGGTATTCCATAATTGAAGAAATTGCAATTCAATTAAAAAACTACCATTTTTTTGCCTCATAATACCTTGCTTCATCTCATGCTGGTTTAAGAGCCTTTCTCCCTCATTTAATGATTCCATATATAGAACTTTGTAGTGTGACTACGATATTTTAATTTCCCCATGGAATGGTACCATATTGCTTTCCTTAATGGCAGGCTATAGCTTCTC